GATGGAGGGTCGGAAGGTGGAGGGTATGGGAAAGAGGGAGCGGAGGGGAAGGAAGGAGGAAGGGAGGTAGTAGGGAGGTGGGAGAGGAGGGAGCAAAGGGAGGGAAGACAGAAAAAGAGCTGTTATGATCTATAGTGGTACAAATTGTCTCAGTTTGCAGAGACCTGTAGTGAAAGAACAGTCAACATTGTCTAAGACGGCCAACTGTTGTCTAGGAGAAAAGTACTTGTCTTAGACAGGAGGGGGATGAGGTGTTGGGGGAAGAAAACAACAGAGGAGGGAACGAAAAAAGAGAACGGAAAAAGGAGAAGAAAGTAAATTATAATATCTAGATCAATAACTCTATCTTCGGTAACAATGACAACAACAGACAGAACAAATATAATTATAACAATAAAACAACAACAACAAAACAACAATAACCACAACAACAGCAAAAACAACACCACCAACAACAACAACAACACCACTACCACCACCACCACCAACAACAACAACAACAACACACACCTGAATTCATATCAGCAGCAGCCTGTGGAAAAACATCCTCCTCCTTCTCCTCCTCACAACCGCCAACAACAACAACAACAACAACAAACACCATCACCACCACCAACAACAACAACAACAACACACACATACCTGAGCCCATATCAGCAGCAGCCTGTGGTAAAACATCATCATCATCCTCCTCCTCAACACCCCCAACATCCACAACCACAGCATCACCACCACCACTACCACCACCACCACCACCACCAACAACAACAACACAAACACACCTGAGCCCATATCAGCAGCAGCCTGTGGTAAAACATCATCATCATCCTCATCATCATCACCGCCAACATCAGCACCGCCAAAACCTCCCAGCTCCCCTCCCTCGCCCGTGGTGTCGTAGCGCGACGACATGTCGCTAAACTGCTGGTACAGTGACGTCATGAACGTGTCGTCTGCCACTGCCACATCCTCCGCCGCTGAGCTGGGCGTTTTGGATTTCTTTTTTCTGAAAATATATAATTTTTAAATATTTTTTTAGTAAGCTCTCAAGCTTACCAATGTATGGTTTGTTTTGTCTGAGTAAAGAGAAGCACGTCGACACAATAATGGTCATTTAGGCCTTCCGGATTTTCTTTCTTTCTGAAAATATGTTTGATTGTTTTGTTTGAGTAAACTCTCCAGCTTACCACCGTATGGTTTGTTTGTTTGTTTGTTTGTCTGTTTGTTTGTTTGTTTGAGTAAAGAGAAGCACATCGACACAATAATGGTCATTTAGTGCTGGGAAAAAGTAAGACAGACAGAGGGGAAAGTAAAGAGGTAGGACCTACAAGTGTCACCCTCCAACCACCCACAGAGACAGACCGAAACAACAGAGGGAAAGTAAAGAAGTAGGACTTACCAGTGACACCTTCCAACCACTCCCACACTGTAGAGGAAAAGAAAGAACCCAGAAACTTGCACTACGTCGACCATTTGTCCACACACGTACGTACTAAGCTCAACATTTTGACAACTTTTTTTTCGTAAGTTTTTCAATCCGTAGTACCGGCTACATGTTATCAAGACGTATTTAATTAAAATTCAAAAGTTCAAAGTTGAAAACTGTGAGAAAAGAGAAATAACTTATGTAAACTTTTTGAAAGAATGTAAGTTTTTTTGTTCTCTCCCCTGAAACATTTTGCTTTCTGGGCTACGGCCAGTTCTGTCAAGCGTACGCTGACAAAACGCCTTTTTTTTCTTCACAGCAGTAGCGAGAAAAAGAGGTGGGGGGGGGGGGGGGGGGGTTGTCAGCGTAACCATTTAAAAAAAGAGTGATTTCGAAATTTGAATTCTAACTCTTTTATTCAAAAACTAATCACAGTTTCACTCTGATCAGGCTTACGATTTAGCAAATAAAAAATGTTGGCGAAAGGCGTTTTGTCAGCTAACTGCAGAGTTGAAATGCTTGCCAGCATGCAGTACCCTCCAACCACCCGCTGAAACCAAACGGGACCACAGACAGACAGACAGACAATGGAACCAACACGTAAACAAACAGACGTGGGTAGTTGGCGGGTGCTCTGGTGTGGTTTGCTTCTGCTTTCCTATCAAACATCTATCGTCTTTATCTCCCATCCTTCTTTTTCGTGTTTGTTACTCTCTTGTAATTCCTCTAATCTTTAGCACTTATATGACCTTATCGTGTTGCAAGAGCAGTAAAACTCTTACTAAAACTAAAAGAAACAGACAGCCAATGGAACCAACAAACAAACAGACAGACAGATAAATAGGCAGATAAAATCTCACCCAGCAGACGGAGGTTTTTTCGCTGAGCCCGGTCGGCTGTTCTTTGATGGGGGGCGGACATCTTCCTGGGTTGGGGGGTTGGTGGGGTGTGGAGTGGCAGGGGGGGGGGGGGAATGGTGGGGTGGGGAGGAGATGGGGGGGTGGGGGTGGATGGGGGGTAGAGATAGAAGTCAAGGAGTGGTTGTTGAACTCAAGTAGAATGTTTGACACGATTTAAGTAATTTAAAACAGTTAGATATTCACACTGTTAGATGGCAATACAGACAGACAGAAAGAAAGAGAGAGTTATACATAATTCACACTTTTAGAAGGCAACACAGAGAAACTGAAAGAGAGACAAACAGACAGACAGACAGACATACAGTCACATTCTTACAGTGTTAAAAAAATTATACAGATTGGTAGACAGACAGACAGATAGACAGATAGACAGACAGACAGACAGACAGACATACAGACAGACAGACAGACAGACATACAGACAGACAGACAGACAGACAGACAGACAGACAGACAGACAGACAGACAGACAGACTTACATGCGGCGTTCTCCTTTTGCTAGTACCAGCTGAGCCACCATCCTCTAGTTCTCTGTGATAGGGATTGGAAATGATTGTAAGTGATTGGAAAAGATCGGAAATGATGGGAAATGGTGGGAAATTATTGGAAATGATTATAAATGACCACAAGGGGTAGTAGATAGTGGTAAATGATAGTAAATAAAAAAATAAAAATTGTAAATGATCACAAATGATAGTGGATAACGGTAAATGACTGTAAATAATAATTGTAAACAATAAATCTGACAGTAGATTATGGTAAATGACTGTAAATAATAATTGTAAACAATAAAACTGACAGTAGATTATGGTAAATGACTGTAAATAATAATTGTAAATAATAAAACTGACAGTAGATTATGGTAAATGATTGTAAATAATGCGCTTCACCAAACTCTACAAAATACTTGATTTTCATTTTTTCCAAATGTTGATAAACTAAACTAAAACATTAAATGACTATGACTATAATATATGAGTTCTGGTCTGTAGGGTTGAACCTATACCAAACAGCTAGGGACGAGAAGCTTACTCGAGGAAATCCTCCGTGTTGATGTTGTCCAGATAGCGAGACTTGGACAAAACATTCTCCTGCTCTCTCTGGGAAAAAAACCCAAAACAAAAATAAAATAAAATCATGAGTTAAGATGCAGTGGAAAATGAGAGTCAGGACGTTGTGGAATCAGGTGCTCCTCAATTTTTGGGCCTGTGGAGTTAAAATTTCTGGTATCATCTTAATTAAAGCTCGTTCATTTGTCTAGCTTGGAATACAAAATAAAAAAACCAAATTCCTTATCTAACTTGAATAAACGTCAAGATATTTGCAATTGAAGGAGGTGGGGGTCGCGTGGTGTCAGAGGTGAGATTAGTTTGGCAATTTTATTCACAGCTTGAGTGTCCTCAAAAACAGCAAAATACTTTTTGTTGTGCCTTTGATCAATGTTTTTCCGTAAAATCCACACAAAAATGTGTTTTTAAATGGACATAAAAGATGTCGAGCCAAAAATCTTTTTTAAAAAAGGAAAATTCAATAAAAATTGCTCAACGGACAGAAAAATGCACATAAAGAAACAGATAAAATACAGCAATGCTCAGACCAATACTTCTTCTCTCAGTCAACAAAAAAATATTCTCCAGCCAACTTCATTTTTCCACCAAAGTATAAAAGTTAGGCAGTCCCTGAAACAACTAAACCTGATTCACTTTCATCTGACCACGGTTAAAACAAGATAAAATCAGATCGGTCTGTCTAATCTTTTCAGACCTATTGATACAGTTCTAAAAGTTGGATGATCAACAGAATGTAAAAGCCCATTCATAAAGGTAGCTGTGAAGTAAGGTTCCGACACGTTTTCTTAGATGTTAGCCAAGAGGGTCAAAAAAATAATAGGGGACATACAGCACACACCTAAAACATTTCAAAATTGACATATTTTCTTGAACACGACTCTTCAAAGTATGTCTAAAAACACTGTCCAAAAGACGGGTGATTATTTTTCAAGCCTCACGAGGAGAAGTCTAGACAATTGAGGAATGATGTCTATAAGCTGACATTGAAAGGTCGGGGCAGGGTGATGTCGCTGTCTCAAAATAAGCAATTTGTAGGCTAGCTTATAATAAGTAATTTATTTTAGTGATCCTATGTATGCACCCAAAGAGTGGTTTTTAATACAGGGCCCAAATAGAGAAACTTTTTAAATAGCTGGATCAAGATATATTTTTTAAATAATATTTCTGTTTGGTTGCGAGCTTGCAGAAGTTGCATGCAAAGTTTCGTGGGCGTAGGAAAGTTAATAAAACAGCTAGAATATTTTTAATGCCGACAGATGATTGTGAACAAGCTATAGCTAACATCTGTATGGAATCGAGGGATCTTATATCAGAAACAAATCTACAAGACACTGATCTGAGTAGATAACAAGTTTTTGTTTTTTTCATCAAGCATACGACTTGAGAAGGAACAAAACACGACGTCCATCTTGTCTTACCATGACCATCTCAGCCTCCTGCACAAGCGAGGCAGTCTTTTTCTCCAGCTCCGCATTTAGCCGTCTGTGCAGAAGACATTTACAGTGCGTTAGTCATTAACTCAAGTTTACAGTCAGTAAAATACATTATAATTTGATATATATACAGGTCATGAAGCGGTGGAATCAGGCACACTCGTCAATTTCTTTAATTTTTGGGTATGTGGAGTCATTGGTATCATCTGAAAGCTTATATTTATTTACCTTGCTTTCAATTTTTTTCAATCCATCTCTCTAGAATGGAAGTTGAGATATTTGTAATTGAAGGAAGTGGGGTTGATTGGTTTCAGAGGTAAAATTAGTGAGAAAATGGTCGCCAAAGTTTGATAACTTCAATAGCTTGAGTCCTTGAAAACTAAAAATTTACATTTGTTCTCCTTTTAATAAACATTTTTCAGAAAATGTGCAGTTTTCAAGGACAAGCAAACTTTAGAAGCCATCAAACTTTGGTGGCCATTTTCTAGATAATTTCACCTCTGACACCAGGTGCCACCACCTCTTTCATTCACAAATATCTCAACTTCTATTAAAGATAAAAGGTTATTTCTTCATCAAAAACAAGACAAATAAACAAGCTTTCAAGATTACACTAATGACTCCATATGGCCAAAAACTGAGGAGTGCCTGACATTCTGCCTCATCGTTACACGTTTTGATCAACAGCATTGACATGAATCTCTTCATCATGAGACAATTTTCAGGGAAAACTGCTTTTAGTTTTTGTTTTTGTAAACGTTTTACAGCACTTGCAACACAATTAGGTCATATGAGTGTTGAAGATTAGAGGTGTTACAATTACAAGAGAGTAACATACACACAAAAAAGAAGGAACAGACAGATAAGGATGACAGATGTTTGACAGTAAAGAATCGAATGTACAGCCAAGAAAAATTTCCCTATGGGATAATACTTTAAAATATTATCTATCTTATCTTATTTTATCTTATCTTGTATCCCTTCAAAAAGCTAACAATGTACCACGTGCTTACTTGTATTCTTCCTCCCTGCTCAGTATATCAGACGGCTGCCGAGCAGGGGAAGGTGACGCATCATTCTGAGGGTTCGAAGCTCCAAATTTTGTCTGGGGAATTATAGAATTTCAGTAAACTTTATTTTCACTCCTACACACAGATGTACTGCTTTTGACTTTGAGGGTAAAACCTGGGCAGGTTTTTTTTTGCTGTAGATCACACACATCATGGCCACTTTAAACTGTCACATATGAATTATTTTCGAGAAAATTTCAAATGTTTTACATGTGCAAAAGATAAAAAATTATGGAGAATAATTACAGTTTTAGGAGGGGCGGGGTGCCCACCTGTTATCCCCCAAGACATTCATTTTTGTAACCTCGGGGTGGGGGGTGCACTAAAATTTAATAGCATTTACCCTTATATATAGTGTAATATCTATAGATAGTTCAAATAAAAACCGACAAATCTTTTAATTAAAAACTATTCAATTTGCGATGGATATATTATGTATCATGAATAAAAATAACAAGAAATGTGCTGGCTTGAAAGAAGAGTGAAAGTAAAATAATTCCGAATTTTCAAGAGAGGTCCAACAAGAGAGCTGCCACGAATGCTACAATTTTAAAATTCAACAATTAATGTTGGGGCAAATCGTATTTTAATTGATTGGGAATGCTTTTGATCTGATTTCAACTATTTAAGACGAAGAAAAGTTGAAATGGAAGGGAAACTCATTTCTTTTAAATTTTCTCCAGATATTGTTGGCACGAAATAAAGCATTTTTTCAATGTGAAGACATTGAGGAATAGTCTTGCATTTTGAAGTCAATATATCAGATTTCAAGGCAATTTTTTAAGTTTATAATAATGCTTAGTCTAATCTAGCAAGTAGATCTGGAATCTAGTAAATTTGATTAAAATTTAGAAAGGAGTTTTATTGGGCTTTCGAATTCATAACAATTCCCATAGATCTATATTTAACCCATATCCCCATGCATGTAGCATACAGGACCTTAAAATTATTGAATCAAGTCAATTTATCCAAGTTGGTCGGAATGCTAATCAAAATCATTAAAAAGTATATAAACAGCTTTACAAAACAGTACAAAATATAGATCTAGATCTAGACTAAATCTAGTGCAAGGCCATTTCATGGTGGCAATCAACAGCTCATGCTGACCCACGATGACAGGAGTCGGAACCTTTTGCCTTTGCCTTTGCAATTGTTGTCAGAAGGAACAGCAAAAGCAGCTATGACGAATGGACCCAATACTAATGTAAAGAGGGATACATCAAGAGTAAAGGAAACACTAACATTGTCACAAAAGTAAAAGAAAGACTAATAGATCTAGATCTAAATAAAATAAAATAAAGTCTAGAATCTACAGACTAAAAGCCAAAAGTAAAGAAGACAGCGAAATTTGGATCGAGGGAAGAGACACTGGAGTCCGGAGAAATGAGAGAGAGAGACAGAGAGAGAGACAGAGAGAGAGACTGACAGAGAAAGAAGAAGGAGAGAGAGAGAGAGAGAGAGAGAGAGAGAGAGAGAGAGAGAGAGAGAGAGAGAGAGAGAGAGAGAGAGAGAGAGAGAGAGAGAGAGAGAGAGAGAGGGGTGGGAAGGAAAAAAGACTCACAAAGCTTCCCCTGGAATTTGATCGTCTGCCACTCTCCGCCATGTTGTGAAAAATGTAAACAAATTTAGCTACTAAGACTACTAATTTTCGGCAGCAGTAAAAGCCCTTCTATTCAAATTGCATTTAAATTAAACTATCCAAAGATAACTTGATCCTTTATTTTTCAGACAAAAAATCAGTCTGTATTGAATTTGTTACATTTTGGAGGCAAATTTCAAAAGTTTAGCCTAGTTGTTTTGGGTTTTTTTCACGACATAGTGTCAACTTTTCGTAACCGTCATGTAACTCTTTTGTGTTCCCGGTTCAAGAAACTCAAAAAATCCCTGTAACGAACAACAGGGGGAGATTGTGACCTCTCTCACAGCGTAAGGAAAACAGTTGTTTTGTGATTGTTTTTGTGTTCAAATACGTATGCAATGCTTCTAATGTATGTTTGGTGTTAACTGTAAACCATACCAACTGTTTATTGATTGAACGAAAACCACAATCCATGTTGTTGTTGATGATAATGATCGTATGGGAGTGTGTCCTTTACAGTACAGACACAGTACTTTACTCTATATGTACCGGTACCCTCAGACTCAGAGTCAGACTCAGACCCTATCCTCTTGAGCTCACACTGGAGAAGTCTCACGTCAGCTCTAGGCAAGATCTAAACCGGGTACCCTGTAGCCTTTGGCATCATCGGTTCAGTTAGGTTCGTTGGTTGTTTTTTTTCGGTTTGAGGCCATCCGTATTGTTTTCCACGGGAGAGACTTGCTCTTGCTGTCAGTGAAACTGATGAAACCGACAAAACTGATGATGACCTTTTGATTTTGAACAACCACGTTTGTTTTCAAATTCAAGGCTGCGTATCAGGTGAACTTTTGGGCAATTGTTTTAGTTATAGTGAGCACTAAAACGAAACCGAACCTCAAATGGATGGGCACCGCCTAGTTAGCTAGTTACATCATCTTACTTGAATCCCTTTTTTGGGTGCTAGAGCTAGAGACAATTATAGTTGCATCAGCTGGCCTGTATTCTGGTGTTGATCTAGTAAAGGGCAGAGGAGTAAAGAAATAAAAAATGAACTTACACTTGTATTAAATAATATTTTGGATCAAGTCAGTTCATGTACTTGTTTGTCCATGTGCAGTGTAAATACTTTCTGTTTTCCTTGTAATTTTAAGTCTACCTCTAGTATTTCACTCTTCTTAAAATAAAATTCTAATAGACATAATCTATGCCTCAGGTAGGTGGTAGGTGACTGTACATATTGAAATGGTTGCATGGACCATAGCACATGGATTTTTGTACGACTGGATGAAAACATGTGTATATAAAATTAAGGGAGATGAAAATGACGCGCTCTGTGTCGTTCTGGCGGATGCGGGTAAATGGCAATGACACGGAGGGTATCGGTCTGGCCGATACAAAAGTTAGTTTTAATACACACGTAAATCTGTCCAGTCCTCCAAATCCATCTTTATAATGCTGTTCAAGTTATTTCCTTTCTTTGCGAGAATTCGCAAAGTCCTAGAAGGCATTTTTTAAAATGGTAGCAGCACGTTGAATCATCGACAATTTTAGCGAGTCATTTTTCGCACACTCAGAAATATTAATGAAATCCTTCTACAATATGCCTCTTCTGCTTTTCTGCCTTCAATTTCTCTTTTCGTGCTTCCTTCATACTTCAGGTTGCTGATTGTTAATTTTTTGTATGGTGAATGAGATAGGTCTAAATCCATAGATTGTTTGTAATATATAAAAATCTTCGCGAATTCTGAGAATTACAGCCACGATTTATTTCTGGTTGTTTAGGAAAATCTTTTCTGGCTAATAAAAAGAGTTACATTTTAGAAATTCCAATCCTCTGATGGTACATTTTTATTCTTTCACTTTTGTTACAGTCCAATAATAATCCTCGCAGAGGAGCAAGTTACAACCCTCTAGCTCCAGTGCATCAGCTGACCCGTCGGCAAAAGATATAAAACTGTGGTGAGTGAGGGAGAGAAGAAGAATGTAGTGTTGTGGTTTCACTCTTAGAAAATATTTTGCAGGGGCCTTCATAATCATTATATGGTGGGCTTTTCGATTCTGTTGGTAATTCCAACTTTTAGACCGGCCAGCATGCAGACCTGAGCAAATTAAACCATGTGAGATTATTGTTATCCTTTTTTATTAACGCCAATAGGAAAAAGTGAACAAGGTATATATAGTAAACTGGGGGCAGACAGTGTCTCCACAGTAGCTCCCATGCTTTATATTCTTTTTCTTGACCGTGGGTGGATAAAATGTGCTGACGTGACCTTGACTTTGTTTTTGCGACCACAAGCTGGAGTAGGCAGGTATTGACTTCCTGAAATTATTTATATTATATTACCGTGTATATTCTTTCTGTTTTAGAAAGCGTATAAATTTGTTTTCTATTGTACCCATGTAGCTTGACAATTGTGGTGGTGTTGTGTGAGAAATGCTGAATGTCATTTTAATAATCTTGAATTTGACCGGGTTTTTCTTCCATTTTTTGTTTCACAGATTTCGAGTGTCAGAAAGGAGGATCTGTCAACTTTGTATCATGGCTTTGTCTTTAGTCAAGTAAGATTTTTTTACAGTTTTTCTTTATGACGATCTTTTTCTGAATAAAATATTTTATAAAATGCAGTTTTGTGTGGGGGTTGTTTGGGCTTGGGTTTTTTGTTTTTTGCTTTTGGGGGGTTTTTTTGGTAGG